TGTAAGAGGGAGACAGGAGAGGGTGGGAACAGAGAGTAACCAGAATAAATTATAGAAAGTTTGGAGGTCTCAAATAATAAAAAGATGAGGAAACATTCCCATAGATCAGTGCGCTCACTCCTAACAAATAAACGATAGTCTATAGTCTATGCCCTAAAAATTCAGGCTAGTTGATTGGAATACATATGGCACTAGCCATGTACTGGAGTGAGTCTGGAGAGTAGGTCAAGGTCATGGGAATTCTCATCTCTAGGACCTAGAATGCTGCTTGACCCAGAAGTCATGCAGACTCCAAAGCAAATGAATGGAAGAGATGCATTGTAACATCTGAATGCAAATTGTAAAAGAACAAAGAGAAATTCAGTCCTGAGGGCAGAGAAGCAGGGAAGTGATGCTGAGGCTGAAGGAGCTGGAGGAGGAGGAGGAGTCGAAGAGGGGGAGGAGGAGGAGTTGGAGATAGGGGAGGAGGAAGAGGAAGAGGGGGAGTTGGAGATGGGGGAGGCTGCAAGGCTGTTCTATGTTGCTTTTATGAAGAGCAAACGCCCCATGGGACCTCAGTTGCCTGGAAAACTGTCCAGGGCAGGTAGGTATGGATCCTGGGAGAGCTGTGGAGAGCCTGCAGACACGGGTTTAACCTGCTCAGATCTGGGTTTGAGAAAGCCGATGAAGTGGGAGCAAGGAGACTGGCCGAGGTAGGGGAAGGAACTTCAGTGAACCAAAGAAAGATGCCAAGTGCCACCCAGTGGGCATGGGCATGACGGGAGGCTGGGGCATCTCCAGGTCATGGTGATAACAGCGGGGACCAGCTGGAGAGTCCGCTGGTATTTTTAGTTGGGTTGCTGGAGATACAGCACCACACCTTGACAGATGAGAGACAGCAGGAAGGTCAGTTTGGAGTGGAGATTAAGCTGAGTCTACTCTGGTAGGAGGTGTCCCTCACCTCCTCCAACCTCCCCACTGTGGCCTGCGGCCCAGGGCGGGTCTCTGCTGGAAATAAAGGCAGGATCAGGGGAGGTAAATAAAGGAAGAAATAAATAAAGGCTGGTGCCTTCTCAGTTATGGGAGAACATAGGTGCTTGAGAATCAGAGAAAGCTTAGTAGGCATCTACTCAGATCTGTGTGTTTTTGGAAACCAATCGAATAAAACAATGAATTCTGAGTCTGACTCCCATCTTGCTACTTTGAATCCCGTGGCTAAACTCACTGGCTAATTAGGTTTTGTTGTGGTGGTGGTTGTTTTGGGGGCGAGTTTAATTTGACACTGGGGTCATCTGGAAAGAGAATTTAGACTGAGAAAAGCCTCCATTAGATTGGGCTGTGAGCATGTCTGTGTGGCATTTTCTTGATTAATGACCAGTGTGGGCAGCCCCTCCCTAGACAGGTGGTCTTGGGTTGTATAAGAACACAAACCATATTCGTAATTTTGGGGCTGGAGAGATGTCTCAGTGGTTAAGAGCACTCACTGGCTGCTCTTCCAGAGGTCCTGGTGGGATCTGGTGCCCTTGTCTGACGTGCAGGTGTAAATGGAGATAGAGACCACACATAACACACACACACACACACACACACACACACATACATAGAGAGGGGGGTGCACCCTTTCCTTCCCAAGTTGCTTTTGGTCATGATTTTTCTCACAGCAATTGAAAGTAAATTGAGACCCAAGGAGAAAGCTTTCTATTTTTCAGTCCATTTTCCTTCCTTCCTTCCTTCCTTCCTTCCTTCCTTCCTTCCTTCCTTCCTTCTTTCCTTCCTTCCTTCACCTATTCATTCATTCATTCTCTTCTTTTTTTTTTTTAATTTTTGTTTTTGTTCTTTGAACAGGGTTTTTCTGTGTAGCCCTGGCTGTCCTGAAACTCACTCTGTAGACCAGGCTGGCCTTGAACTCAGCGATCTGCCTGTCTCTGCCTCCAGAGTATAGGGATTAAAGGCATGTCACCACCCAGCTTCGTTCTTAGTTTCTAACCATCTGTGATGAGGGTAAACATAAGCAAAATATGTTACATACATGTGTGAAAGTATCGCAGTGAAAACCGTTCTTTTGTATATAATTAGTGTAAGTTAATAAAAATGACTAATAACCCCCGATTGTATGAGTTCCTTCCCAGTTCTCAGTGGGTCCCAGTGTCGTTTGGGTGAGATGTGACCTGAAGTCCAATGTAGACAGTTATGCACCAGCACAACTTAGATCACGGTATAGTGCATCGGAAGCCAAGCTCTGGAAGAGATGAACTCAAACTCAGCGGGGCACCTAACTAAGGTTGCCCTATCAGCATAGTCAAGAATATAAACAATTTGAGTCTATCCTACTATTTGCCATCTCCCAAGCTCTCTTAAAATTTTGAAAAAAAAAATGGGGCTGGAGAGATGGCTCAGCAGTTAAGAGCACTGACTGCTCTTCCAGAGGTCCTGAGTTCAATTCCCAACAAGCACATGGTAGCTTACAACCATCTGGAATGGGATCTGATGCCCTCTTCTGGAGTGTCTGAAGAGAACAATAGTGTACTCATATACACAAAATAAAAAATAAAAAATATTTTGAATTAAAAAGATTTATCTTTTGTGTAGGTACATTTTGGCTACATATATGTATGTGTGCCACACTTGTGCCTGGTGCCAGTGGAGGCCAGAGGAGCTGGAGTTAAGAGTCTTATTGAGTTATTCAGGTTGACCTCAAACCCATGACTCTCCTGCCTCAGCTTCTCCAAAGCTGGGATTGCAGACATGTAATAGGATACTCTCTGCTGTGGCTGGCTGCTTGTTCCCCATCTAGAGACTCATTCACATTGATACACTGTTACTGTTGTTGTTATTTCCTTGTCAAGTAGAATTCCATTGTGGGACATATCAAATACACCTATACATTCTACTGTTACCGTCTGGCTGGGATGCCTAAGGCACAGTTGCAAAAATCATGTATGTATTGAGTGTGTGTGTGTGTATACACTGTTTCCTCTTTCACAGAGTGTTCTGGAGTGATTCAATTCTGTTATGTAAAGACTCCTGCTAGGTACTGTGACACTGACCAAAGAGGCAGACAGATCAATTTAGTGTGGAACTTACTCATCACAGAAGCATGTGCCTGACCAGCAGCAAGATCACGTGGACTCCTAGATTTTGGATCAGAAAGTGTCTTAGCTACTATTCTATTACTGTGAAGAGACACCAAGACCAGAGCAACCTATAGAAGAAACCATTTTAATTGGGGGATTGCTTACGGTTTCAGAGGTGAGTCCATGAGCATCATAGTGGGGAACACGGCTGCGGGCAGGCAGGCATGGGGATGGAGCAGTAGCTAAGAGCTTACTTATTATATATTAATTCACAACGTGGAGGCAGAAAGACTGGGCCTGTTGTAGGCTTTAGAAACTTCATAGTTCAACCCCAGTGACACGCCTTCCCCAGCAAGGCCACGCCTTCCCCAGCAAGGCCACGCCTTCCCCATCAAAGCCACAACACTTTTTTTTTTTAGGTTTTTCGAGACAGGGTTTCTTTGTGTCGTCCTGGCTGTCCTGGAACTCACTCTGTAGACCAGGCTGGCCTCGAACTCAGAAATCTGCCTGCTTCTGCCTCGCAAGTGCTGGGATTAAAGGCGTGTGCCACCACTGCCCGGCTTTTTTTTTTTTTTTAAAGCCACAACACTTAATTCTTTCTAAAACAGTTCCACCAACTAAGGACCTAGCATCCAAATATATGGGTTTATGGGGCCATTCTCCTTCAGACCACCACAGGGAGAAAGACGTATTTATGGACTGGGACAAATGTGACTGTTGTGGTTTCAGTGTACCTCACTTACCTTAAGATACCAGATGACTAGGCAATCATGGGGTCACACCTCAATACAGCTACAGTTGTGTCCAGGAGACTGTCCCCTCATATCTGAGTGTGCACAAGACTGAGAGTCTCAGGAATGCAGCTTGGGTGGAGAAGCCTAGT